CTCAATCTGGAAGCTCAGTCATTCCTGATCTTACCAATTCATGAGTTAGATCATAATCCACCATAAACACGACCTAATTCGCATACGTAAGGCACGATTTCAGCCTAAATCGCATGCGTTGGGCATGATTTTAGTCCAAATCGCATTCGTTTAATGCAATTTCAAGCATTTGTGGACGCGTAGTGGGAACATTTACGTGCTTTTACTTTTTTTTTTTGTTTATCACGCCTAAAGACGGAGGAGGAGCATGTGAAGGAGGGACTCATATATGTTTTAATGTTTGGATTTTTTTTAAAACAATACATCATGTCTAAATATATTTTATTAAAATTTTATTCGTGTCATTTAAGAAGATCAATATTTTTAGATTTACCTGCTTTTAATTTTTTTTTATCCTGCCTAAATCACACGGACATAAATATTGTGATTATGCAAATATAATATTTACAATAATCAATTGACATTCTATTCCCCTAAGAATTAGAAATAGATTGATTTATGAAAAAAAATGACAAGGAGGCAGGATTAGATAAAATTCGACAAAATGGAAGAAAATTAAAATCCAAAATTTGAAAATCCTCGACAGTGTTACATAGTCTGCCGATCAAAAAATCAAGTATATATATGTATATATGTGTATATGTGTTGATGATAATTTAATTATAGTTTTAAGTTATTAGGATAATATTATTATTAATGTCACTCAATAGTTTTAACTCAATTCATGTGGAAGGTTTTATTTCAAGTTCTAAACTATTATTAGAAATAAGGTAATGAACGAGGAAGGAATGCAAGTGAACAAAGTAAATTATAAATTTACCAATAAAATTAATCATCACTATTTAATTAAAAAAGAGAAGAGAAAATAAGAAAGAAAACAAAATAAATAAATAAGCATTAGTGCCAGCATTAAACCTAAAACACGCACCTTCAGCAAATCGCACCTATGTGGCTAACCATCGAGTCAAACTGACTAAAATCGTTGGTTCAACAATTGAGTCAAAGCGACTTTCTCATATTCCTTTGTCATTTAATCGGTTCGACTTTGGTTTATGTGTGTGCCATGAAATGTTTCATGCAAATTAGTTGAGAACTCTAATGATATTTTTGTACCTTTATGGTCTACTTTCTATTTTGCAATTGCCATGATCAAATCTTTCAAAACATCTTATTTGGAAAGATCTGGGAAAGTTGGGGATTTTTTTATCCCTTCAATGTCAGATCCTTCAAGTTACCTCTCGATTCTAAGAATACAATTAAACTTTTAAAAAAAATGTCTAATGACTACTATCACTTAATGTAAGTGTGGAATTGTTAACGAAGATTAACATTTGTATTTATTATTTGAGAGTTGAGTTTGAAAAAAAATAATTCTTGACGTCAAGTAATAAATTTCTATATTAATGTATGGGTTTAAACTTCAGCTACTCCATCCATCGATTAATGCTAGAGATTGAATAAGCATAATTCTCTGTTTTTTATTTTGCATGTCAAGTTAATTCTACATCAATGGGAGAATATGTTAGATGGAATAATTTCTTAGATGTATTACCACATCCCTAAGGATTAGGACCACTTTTTACTAATCAGTTGAATCTTTTTGGTCAAAAACGTGATTCAAATGATCAATTATTTAGTACATCCGAGGGAGAAGGAACTCGATTACTACAAAAATAAATAACATTTCTTGCAACGCTCATGGGAATGTCATTTATTAATTAATTTTCTTTTGGAAGATTGATAAATGTTATTTTTCATCATGAATCGTGCTTTAGACATCCAACAAATATCTAAAGTCAGTTGTAGTATCAGAGCCTGGAGTTACTTTTTCCAAAAGAGAACCAGATGACGAATGCTTGATATATGCAAATGATGGTTTGTAGGATGCTGTCTCAAGTGACTTGGCCTCTGAGGTAGCTTGTGAATGACTTCAAGAAGAAAGGACTGCTACTACTATGACGATAGACCTCAATACAGTGCCTTAAATAGAAGAATGAACCTGAATATCTTAAAACCCTCTAGAACTACACTGGCTACTACGTCCTTACTTACTCGACTTACTTTGGAGCAAAAAGGCAACGATAAACTCAATATCATAATTATTGAGCTAAAGAAAATATGAGCAGAAAAATTGAAGTGGTTAAGGTTAATCAAGTGTATGGAACGACTAGGGAGTAGCACAGTCTTTTCTTTTCTTTTTTTAGTACAACATGTGGTGGTGAGAGATCGAACTCACAACGTGTTGATTTGAGACATATGCCAATTATTGCTGAGCTATGCTCGTTTTGGCAAGTAGCACAGCCTTTTCAGTAGACTTTATTCGACAAGAATTCTCTCATAAGTAAAGAATATAGTCAATACGTAAGTCAATAGTCATTTCAATTTTAATGTATTTCTTTTTAGGCATAATGTATTTATTTTTATTATTAAAACAAACTTTTATTTGTATGATTTTTAATTACACACATTAAATTAGGGCGGGCTATAAGAATGTTTCATGCTAAAATCAATTTAAGAGGTCAAAGTTTCAATTGGTTGACTTTTAAGTTAATTACTCAAGTCGTTCAACTGGTACTTTGTATTGTAATTTTAATCACATATAATTTTCATTAATACATGTATTAAAACATGAAGTGTGTTTTACAATTGGGGAGTACATAGCATGGGTATTACACACCAAAGTTTATGTGATATATAATAACCCATTGGATCCGAAGCACCATAATTATCGATAAGGTACAAATTTTATGTTAATGCTTGTTTAATAGTTATTATTATTTTTGGTCTTTTATAATATTTTATAAATATCATATTTACTTATTTGTTTGTATTTGATGAGACACGAGTCATATAGCCAAGCAGAGATTGGCCAAGATCTGAGTTGAAATGTATGATTTCATCTGACAATTCATATTATGCATATTTTTGTACAAAAATTTGCATGTGTTCATTAGATTTCTATTATATTTATGAGCATGTTTAAGTTAAGGTTACTTTTTTGGCCATAAATTTTATATATAAATTAATGAAGATCTATTTAAATTCATTGTAAAATTGTATTTTTTTTTCATGATCATGTGGTTGAAGATGTTAGACTTTAATTATAGTTGTGAATTTTGTTATGAAATGAAAATGTAGTTGAAGTTATTTTACCAGTTTTGTGTAAACGTGTAGTTGAAGATTGCTATCTAATTTTGTGCAAATATGTAGTTAGAGATTACTTGCTAGTTTTAATTTAATGTGCAATATGACGTTTATTAGTAAGTCTTATGTGAATGTATATTGAGATTCACGCTACAAAAAAGTTAGCTTTTAATATCAGTTCTAAATTAATATCAGATATGAAAGATGTTGGTTCACAATCGACATTGATCTGCGTGTCATCATACTCTAAAATGTTGGTTACTAAACGATGTTGGTTGTAAACCGACATCAATTTAATCGTCATTGTTGGTCTATGATGATTAGGGGTGAGCAAACATCCCCGAAAAACCAATCCAACCTATTGAAACTGACCAGACTGACATCAGTTGGTCGATTTAGTTGATAGTATGGTTGGAGTCGATTTTACAATATGCAAAACCGATATGTCGATTGGTCGGAGTGGTCAGAAAATCTATTTTTTCCGACTGACCGACCGAAAAAAAAAGGTAAGAAATGACAGCAGTTCCCAATAAAGCAACCACTTGTTTTATTTTTTGTTTTAAGACTTTTTTATTTTTTTCCGTTTTCATTTTACTTTTTAGGTTTTTAAGTTTCTTTTATTAATGTTTCTTAGCTTTCCAATGTTTTTACTTTTTCATCTTTTCTTCGTCTTTTCTTCTTTATCAATATTTTAAGTCTCCGCTCCATTCTCTCCCACACTTTTCTTCCATGGGCAACGCTGCAACTCCCTTTTCTTCACAGTTCGCACAGCTTCTCAGTGGAAACCAACTAAATCAACCGACTAAACCAAGGCCATTTCGATCCGTGCAAGAGAGTTTTAAAGAAAGGTCAGTTTCCTAAAATTGAAACCGACTAGGTCAGTTTTCGACGTTGGTTTTAGCCTAAAACAGAGCCAATTGACCCATGGTCAATCCTAATCATGGTTCCAAATTTCGAACGATATGTCGACGTGTTGAGTTGCTCGCCATCGACATGTGGGGGAAAAGTCGTTTTTCACCCAATGTCGTTGACATGTCGACTCAAATATCTTTTTTTTTTATTAGTATTTCGCGAGAATATTACATTACAAATATATATGAATGTAGAAATAAATATTTAATCTAGGTTTACTAATGTCATACTAAACTATGCTCTTTTGATATCAACAATTATGGTTAGTAACAAAATAGAAAGAAACAAAATATAAAGCTGTGTTATTTCTCATTGTTCAAGAATACTTGGTCCTTTAAAATCTTAGAATTTGATAAAAAAAAAAAAACTATTTTATTTTAGATCAACAATGATAGAAGCCTTTCTAAAACAATGATGGTTTATCAAATAATTGTATTTCTCAAAAATTAT